CATACACCATTTAAATGAGAACTTTGGCATCATTTATTGTTTATTATCTTTATGTAAGTATCATTTGGCCTTCTCATCAAGATAGCCAGTAAACTACAGAAACAGCTTCTAAACTCTTTAACTATTACATCTACCAGCTAAGCTGATTTCTTCCACAAAAGTAGATCTCAAGGTAGCTTCATATTGTGTTCGACGGTCAATGTCTATTTTGTTACAAGAATTCAGATGCATTAACAGCAGTCTACAGGCAGGGGATGGTTCCTACCCTGTGACCACAGGCACACACACGCATCGCCACTGGAATACTACAGGATCCCATGTTGCCAGGGAGGGTAGTGAGTCAGCCCTGTGTTTGTAGAGGAGGTGCCATGTGGAAATTGTTGACCTAATTAAAGGCTTTTCAGAGACACTGCTCTTCCATTTCTATGTGAAATGAGTCAAGGCTTTTACCGTTTGAAGCTTGGCTAGTGTTAAAGCTGAGTAAGAGCTGGTCAGTTCTCATGCTCTGTCTTTGAGCGAAAGTGGTAAAGGAAGTGTTTAACCTCACAGTCATAAAGACGCCGTGGGAAAGTACCCAGGTTACTCCTCTGAGCTGGCAAATGCCAGCTCTTGTGTTTGACCATATAGTAATTATTTGGTATTTCACATATACATGTGTGAGACTTCTCGGAGGCTTTCAGGAACAAGCCCTTGAAACTCTTCCTTTCAACCTCTATTTTAAGGACACTAGATTTATGTTTCTGTTATAGTTCTTGCCAGACTGAATCCAGTGTTGTGTGTTAAAAGGAACATGAATGTACCTTCTACATGTATGATTGCTGAGCAGATTTACCAAGCAGAGGCCTGTGGTTCTCTTTTTCCAGGTTTTCACTTGTTCATAAGTTGTTCTAGAGGCTGGGGGGGAAGTGGCAGTATCCCTAAAAGGAGTGTGTTAATAATGGTAACCTTGACTTTTCTCCTTGGCTCACTGTGGTTGTAAATGACTACATTGCCTCTTCTAGTAACTTCAGTTCCTTTCCTGTGCTCTCTCCCTTCCCATTTCATGGCATTAGAACTATGTGCTAAAAACCAACTTATTTCTATTAATCATTGTTCTTTTACTTTTTTCCTGTAAGGAAATGAAAACATTGGCAGGCTTTTTATTCTAGAAAAAAGAATTCTGTTTGAGTGTTTCCTTGAATCAATAAACATTGATCAGCAGCTATAGATAACAGTCAGTAATAGACATGTACATACATGTAAGATACAAGTATGGGTGGCAGATTAGTTTCCTCATAAAGAAGTTCAGATGTTCATGGATGTGAGTGGAAGGAGGACGCGAGGTATTTGACCTTAGAGAACAGGCCCCTGTGGCCCTAATTCACAGAGAGTTTCACTGCTAGCTAGCTCAAAGTCCCAACCTCTCTCACAGTTCAGATCCACCAGAGAAAGATGGGAAATCTCCCGAGTGCTGTAGAGCCTTGGAGACTAAATGGAAGGTCACCTATGAATCAGTCTCATGACTCAATGGCAATGAGAGAGTTAGAGAATATTTAGCTGGGGGATTTCTGAAGGTAACTAGAGCATACTAAAATACAGGAAAGCATAAGGTGGTTCTAGGGAATTGTAACTGTCCTCTTTGTTTCTATACAGTAGAATATGTTTCACAGAAACAGATAGATGAAAAGGCAGGAAATGTACTCTAGTTGTCATATCCCTGAACTCTGTAGTATACGATCTTATTTTTTTTCATGATTGTGGATTTTGAACTGATTTGTTATGTACAATCTATATAAAATGTAATCATATCATCTTTGTTTTAAATGTCAGCATAGATTTGCCTCTTATGATGTTCTTAGGCTAGGGGAAATAAAATTAAGGGAACAAATTCTGTTACTATTGCTTTCATCTTCAGACAATACCTACGGGTAAGGATATTTGGCATTCTGACTTGACTAGATTTTCCTAATCGTACCATCAACTTAAAGTACAGTTCACCCCTGGAACACTTGCTTTGGGGCAAAATGACAGACCAGGAACTTGAAATGTTCTCTAAGGTGTTGAGATTCCCAGAAAGGAGACTAGAAACTCATTGGTGGTAATACACCAGTTTGATTAAGAGGACACTTATCTGGGCAATGCTCTGAGCCACAGGCAGAGTCATACATGCATCGCCCTGCCTCCCTTGGGGATTTTTTTGCCTCCCTCTGGTGAACAAAAATGGCATGTTGCCAGGGCCTTGGATCTCCGAGGGCCCCCAGGAAGTATGACCTCACTTTCATCACACAGCAAGCAGAAGCGAGGTAGCAGCAAGCAGGAGTACAGCCATCTTCAGCCTCACAAAGGAGCCTGTTGATCTACAAACAACTCCGATCCCTTTATACGGTGATTATGCAATGTCCCTGAGAAACAAAATGCTCACGGGGATGATTGGCATCATATGCTGTTTTTAGTTTATACAACACTTGAACTGACTATGCTGTCTTGTTGCTGCTGTGTGCTGTTGAGATGACTGCGACTCAGGGGAAAAAAGAAAAAAACACACCAAAAAAACCAAGTCATGTCTAAGGAGACGCTCACAGTTCAAATTCATGTTTTTCAAGGCTCAATTTTGTGGCTTTCCAAAACCCCACTTATGACCCTGATAATATTATAATAATAATAAATAATAATATAAAATACTAATACTTGCTGCCCTTCCTGAGTGAGTATGGGAGTTGATGGGATAGAGTCCTCTCTTTGAATATTGTTATTACAGTTTTTATTCCCACATTTGTTAGCACTGTCTTATGGTTTACACCTGACTCATTTGAGATCAGGCTAATGGTTAGCATAACCACCTAAAGATATAATCTAGAGATCAAACCCAAGGGGGTAAGTTTATATTCTTAGTCATTAGGTACAAGATACATATTGATTTAATGATTTTCCACATATTATTAATCATAATCCATTCACTCTGAAAGGAAAAGAAGAACAGTACTACCACATGAAATGTCACATCTTTTGTAATGCCTTGTATATTTTCTTCAGTGTTGCGAAGAAAATAAAATTTGTCACTGAATCAAGAAAAAAGATCATTAAAGACATATGTCCCAGAAACAAGGTTCAATTCAGAGGCCATGTGGTCCAGATGCAGGTCAAGAGTCTGGACAGCACAGTAGAAATGAAGGAAGAATTGAAGGACTGGGCAGAGGCTGGAATCGAGATTATGTTCACCCAACACTCCCAGGAAGAGAAGTTAGAATCCTGAAAATGGAGTTCTTCATTCTGGAGCGTTCAGTATTAAGAAGGCTGGGAATACCTTTATCTATCTTTGTCCGGGTTTGAAGTTAGTGCCTCATGTGGCCGCTCCATTGTGTAGACAGGTGATGGCTAGGAGGAGGAGGGGGAGGTAAGGTCACACATGGTCTGTGGCTGGATTAAGAGGTTGGTTCCAGGTCCTCTGGAGTTTCTTCACTGATGTGACAGATATCTGAAATCCATGCTGAGAAAGCCATGATTTTACATCATTTGCTCCATTTATAGTCTTACACAATGAAGGGGGTTTTTTTTTCTCTTCCCTTTCCACTCATTCATTATCTTTGTTGAATTATCAAAGAAACCAAAATTCTCTTTCCAAGGATAGTCACTTGGTGTGAGCTTCAGTGGTGGACAGGAGGGGCACTAAGTGGCTCCTTTTTGTCCATCCTTTTCTTTGTGGGGATGGGGAGGTGGGGGTGGAGTGTGCATGCCAGACTTCACTGTGTGAGATAGCAAAGGACAAGGGTTCCAGTCACCTCTGTGTCATGCTGTTGGGGGCTTCTCATTTGCTGATTCTGTCCTGAAATGGGGGAAAAAAGAAATAAAAGAAAGATAAATTAATGATAGCTGTGGTGTAACTAAGGGTTAGGGAATGGGCATTTTGACCCCACCAGCTGTTTTGTGGGGGAAAGGTGAGGTCATCTTTCCATAAAGACTTACAGTTTCAGAAGTGCGATGGAGCGATATCATGAGGGAAAAACCAAGTCAGTAACAGGAAGTTTCATTTGGAGGATAGTGTATCTATGCTCTATGTAAAATGAAAAACCTATTGTTACTGAGTCAATAACAAAGAGGAAAAAATACCAAGACTACAACTTACATTTAAAAAAAAGTCGTATTATAGATCTAAAAATAATATGAGAGAAAAGACTTGCCTCACGTCTCTCTACTAGTTTAATAGAGTAAGTACTGTGTCCGCTCTGTAGTCAATGCTTAGAGAATTCTGGTAAGATTAAACAAGATACTGTCTCTGAAGTGTTCAAAGCCTTATCTTTAAACATAATGTAGGCATCCTAAAGGTCTGTGTGAGACATATAAATAGTAAACTAATATTTATTTTAGTAAAACTATTTGGGAATTAAGGCTGGTATGTTACATCCAATAGCTGGTATTTTGACATTACTAATCCCAAAATCTTTCAGTGAGCTCCACCAAGTACAGATGCACTTTTTATCCATTTGCAAATGGCTTAAAGTTAGTCCAAAGTGTAAACTCATTAACAAAGTGGACAGTAGATATAAAACATATATATATAAGAAAACGATACTTCCTTTTTCAGACTCTCAAGGATTGAAAAATATTTTTTATAAAATTCCGTGAACACGCAGGACGATTTTAAAAATGCATACATTGCAATAGCACATGAAGTTACTTCTTTCTGATTCAATTTCATAAATTGCTACATGAAGAAGCACCCTCTAGTAGATAATACTCAGAAATCAGCACTTAATATGGCAGTAATGGTTATTGCTGTCATTCTTTACATCTTTAAAAATAATTAAGCATTACTGCATGGGCATTATAAAGTTCCCCTATCACCATTAAAAGGATATTTGAGGTTTGATGTAATTTAGGAAATTACATTATACAGTAGTTAAGGTTTTTATGTAGTGAAGTAAAATGTGTAGTAGTTAAGCACACTTACCATATAATGCGTTGTACAGAGTTACATGTTCCAGCTGCTGCCAGCTTGTTCCAGTGTCATTATTGCTTTGCAGGCTGACGTTCCTCAGGGAGTGATTCGAGTGCAAGCCCCCCATCTTTCGAAAGTTTCCATGGCAATACAGCTAACTGAAGAACTGAAAGCCAGTGATGTTCTCGCCAGGTTTCTCAGCCAAGAAAGGTAGAAGACTGCTTCTGTTTTAATTATTTCATGGTATAACTCACTCTCTCTTTCTTCCTTCTTCCCCTCCGCCAGTCCCTATTGCCATCTAAGGGATGGCATGAAATACTTAAATAATGTGTCTTTCCAGCGAAAAGGAAGAACAGGCAATGAAAGTGATGGAATGAGTTGAGCTTTTTGGGTTTACAGGAAACCCCTCACTTATAACTTCTGATTTGAGATCACTCCTCCTTGTCCTTTAATATTATGCAAAATTTATTCTCACTGTGGAGTAATTGAAATAATCCTACTACAAATTCTTCATCAAAACCACATACAATTGATGTTCTTGCAGCTTTTAAATCACTGTAAAGACTTTTAGCCTTTTCCTGCACTAAGGCTAAATAAGAACCATATGCACCTGTCATGACTCTCCTGTAAATTCCACTTAGACACTTAAAAACTAATGAACAGGTCGTGTTCATAACCGAGGGGCTGCCTCTAGTATGTTTTCATTTTGAGCTGATTTCAGGTAGAATGTGTGACGATTTCTTCACTATGCAACGAACTGGGCATGGGAGACCACTGGCATTCTGTCCAGAAAATGTCATTTGGATTGAAGTACTATTTATAAATTAATAGCTAATTAATCATTTGAGAACAAGGAGATGAAAACAAATACAATAGCACGACTTTTATTTTTCTTACAAGCAATGATGAATAAAGGTGGGGCACACCCCCGCCCCCACCCCACACACCCCAAGTAAGGCACACATTTTAAAACGTCGGATCTTGTGATAGGTATGGGTGAGCTGTGGTGGCCTAGAGGTAAGAAACTGCATGGCAATGCCCACAGCATTAGGTTTGAATCCACCAACTGCTCTGTGGGATAAAGGTGGACAATCTCCTCCTATGTGATTTACTGTCTCTGCAAACCTGCTGGACAGTCACCTTTGTGTTGATTCCAACTCTGATACACAACAAGTGGTAGTTGTGAAGAATTGGAAAGGTATGAAGAATTCCAGCCCCAGGAGCGCTGAAGCTGCGAGGCACAGAACTCACGTTCCTGGGTGACGATAATCAAGGCTTCCACTCTCCTCTAGGGTTTGTGGTATCAAGGAGTTCTTTAAAATCCCATCATTTCCTGCTTTTAACACTAGAATGTATGCTTCACAGGACATGTTTGCAATATGGCCTAGTGGGTAAGGATTCACACTGCTAACCCTAAGTCCTGATATTGCTGGTAGTTCCATTCCACCAGGTTTAGTAGTTCATTGGGAGAAAGATGGAAAATCTCCTCTCATGCAATTTAGCCTCAGGAGTCCAATGACAGGTTAGCTAAGAGTTGGTCTTAACTCCATAGCAATGAGGAGGTTTTTTACTTATGAATTTCAGAGGTTCAAACAAGTTCATTGGGTTTTTAATTTCCACCTTATGAATTCTTATTTTTACCAAGGTCATATTTCTTAGTGCTTTAGCCCCCCATCTCCCTAGCCACTGGAATAAACTGCAGACACACCTTAGAAATAGGGCAGATTTGGTCCCAGACCATTCCAATAAAACTAATCTTGCAATAAAGCGTGTCACACTTTTCTTATTGTTTTCCAGGGCACATGTGATTTATGTTTATACTGTATGTATGCACGCTTATAATCTAATAAGTGTTCAATAATATTATGAGAAAAAGATTGAGCTTGTGAGAGAATTGCCATACATGACACAGGGACACTACCGTGAGCACGTAATTTTGGAAAAATGGTGCCAATAGATTTGTTTGGTATCAAACCTTCAGTTGATAAAAAAAAAAATGTGACATCTGCTAAACACAGTCGACAAAGTACAATAAAGTAAAGTTAAATACCATGAGGTGTGCCAATAACCTATTTTTTTTAAGTCAATGTAATCAAATGTATTGCATTTTGGCATATAAATACTGTGTTTGGGTCTTTCATTGTATTTACACGACTCATTCTTACATGAAAGATGTCCCATAAACTCTCGTGTGGAAACCTCCCAAATTTAGCACAGTGTACATATTTTGTATATGCTTTCTCTATGAAAGGTCCTCTGATAGGTGCCGGAATGGATAGAAAAATTAAATACTTTCTTCCTTCAGTGTTATAAATTGGGAGATAAATGAATTAATCTATCCAGTTAACAGATGGTAATGAAACACAAAAGAGGCCAAATGGAAATACCTGATCTTTTAGGGAAGCATTACAAATGTTTCCTCCATAGCCTCTGAAGTCAGCACCACTGTAATATAGACTGTGGTAATAAAAAAACCCCGAGATGCACAGGGGTTACACATTTCAGAGATGGTGGAGCTGGGACTCTAAATCGGTAGTTTCTGTCTCCAGAAACAGACCCTCAATGCTCAATAAAGGGTCTTATGAGTTGGACTTTCATGGATATCTTTTTATTAAAGTCACTTTTGTTAAGTGATGTCACTACAGTGAACTTTTTGCTTTGACCTAGTAGAGAACAACTCTCTATGCCGTTCTTCCCTTTAGGGATGAACATAGACCTGAAGATCTGGCCATATTATCTAAATAGAATATCTAGTCTAGACCCAGCTAATTCACATAGTGTTTACTTCTGGGATCCACGTGCTTGATGGAGTCTCCATGTTTGTTGTGCTACTTGTGATACTATCAAATAGAATTGATTGTGAAGATACAAGATTGTTGTACGACTTTAATATCTAGGGTATACCTGACTCATAAGTGACCCTCCACTGACTTTTCAGAGGTTGTAAATTGCTTAAGAGGAGATTGTCCATCTTTCTCCTGCAGAGCAACTGGTGAATTTAAATGGCTTGTTTTGGATTGGCAACATGAGTCCTTACCCATTAGGCCACGAGAGCCCCCTACCGACAGTATGACATGAAGCAAGAGTTGCTCTTTGGTGCTATTGAGTGACAATCCACTGTTGTCGGTGCTGTGTCAAACCATCTCTTTGAGGATCTTTTGTTGTTATTAGGTGCTTTGGAGTCAAATATGACTTGTAATGACCCTATGAACAATAGATATATACCCCACCCTATCCTGTGCCATCTTCACCATCTCTGACATACGTAAGTCCATCGATTGCTACATTCTCTATGTCAATCTGTTTCATTGAGGGTCTTCCTCTCTTTCACTGACTCTCCTCTTTTACAAGCACGATATCCCTTTCCAAGGAATACCCTCTCTTAGCAACATGATTAAAATATGTGAGAAAAAGTTTCACCATCCTTGTCTTCAAGGAGCACTCTGGATGTACCTTCTCCAAGACATAGCTGTTTAGTTTCTGAAAGTCCATGGGAAAATTCAATGCTCTTTCCAACACCACAACTCAAAGGCATCCATTCATCTTCTGACATCCTTATTGTTCAGCTCTTAGATGCATAGCAAGTGATTGAAAATACCAAGGCCTATATCAGGCACACTTTAGTACTCAAGCTGATACCATTGGGACTTGTTCAATGCAATGTGTCTTCTGATCTCCTGACTGCTGGTACCAAGGACTTTGATTTTGGATCCAAGTAAGGTGAAGTTGTTGACAATTCAACCTTTTATTTATCATGATGTTACCATATGTACAGTGTGAAGATTTTTGTTTTATTTTATTTGAAATGCAAGACCAAAATGAATGTTAGAAGAGATTCTGAAAATTGCACTGGAACGCAGAGAAGCCAAAGCAGAGGGAAGAATTAAAGATACTAAACAGTTAAATAGAAGATTTCAAAAGGCAGGATGGGATGACAAAGTAAAATATTACCATGAAATGGACAAGGAGTTGGAGTCAGAAAATCAAAAGGGCCAAACTCGCTCAGCATTTCTTAAGCTCAAGGAACTGAGGAACAAATTCAAACCTAGAGTTGCTATAATCAAAGATGCTTTACACAAAATATTAAATGATTCAGGAAGTAGTAAAAGAAGATGGAAAGAATGTACTGAGTCACTGTATCAAAAAGAATTGGCAGACACAGAAGAATTTAATGAAACAATATATGAGCAAGAGCCTGTGGTCATGAAGGAAGAAGTTCAAGCTGCTTTGAAGGAAATAGCAAAAAATAAGGCCCCAGGAATAGATGGTATACCAATTGACATATTTCAGCTAA